GACTGGCCTTGTTTCACTTAGCATAATGCTCTCCAGTTCCATCCATGATGTGCAAATGGTAGGAGTTCCTTCTTTTTAACAGCAGCATAGTATTCCATCGTGTAGATGTACCACAGTTTTCTAATCCATTCATCTACTGATGGGCACTTAGGCTGTTTCCAGATCTTAGCTATGGTGAATTGTGCTGCTACGAACATCTGGTTACATATATCCTTTCTGATAGGTGTTTCTGGTTTCTTGGGATATATTCCTAGTAGTGGGATCACAGGGTCAAATGGGAGTTCCATTTCCAATTTTTTGAGGAACCTCCATACTGCCTTCCATAGTGGCTGCACCAGTCTGCATTCCCACCAGCAGTGCACAAGTGTTCCTTTTTCTCCACATCCTCTCCAGCACTTGTCGTTTGTTGATTTGTTGATGATGGCCATTCTGACAGGTGTGAGATGGTACCTCATTGTTGTTTTGATTTGCATCTCTCGGATGATTAGTGACTTTGAGCATAAAAACCATTTTTTTTTTAAAAAAATAGTCACTAATGATATATGAACTAGAGTACAAGAAGAAAATGTACACTAAATATTTAAAACAATTTGGTCCATATTACGGGGGTCTTATTTGCTTAGATAAAAAGTTGACATTTATTCTGTGACAATGGGGTGTCATTTAAAAAATATATTTTTATTGATTCAGAGAGGAAGGGAGTGTGAGAGAGAGAGAGAGAGAAGCATCAATGATGAGAGAGAATCAGTGATTGGCTTTCTCCTGCACACCACCAACTAGGGATTGAGCCTGCAACCAGGCATATGTCCTTGACTGGAATCGAACCTGGGACCCTTCAGTCCGCAGGCTGATGCTTTATCCACTGAGCCAAACCAGCTAGGGCGGGTGTCATTGATAGATTCTGAAACTGGAATAAATGATCAAAGATATATGGTTTAGGAAGACTTTTAACTAGATAGATAGATTTTTAAAGTTTGTAACTTTTGAGTGTGATATAATGGAATAGATCACAAGTGCCCATCCTATCCTATATAATAAAGAGCTAATATGCTAATTAGACCGAACAGCCGAACGACCATCCTGATGACATTCTGGACAACTGTCTGGACGACCTTCCAGATAGAGCTAGGGCTGCGAGGGCCGAGCCTCTTGCACGAATTTCGTGCATTGGGCCTCTGGTGCTTAAATATAATTGTGGGCATTTCAGAAGAAAGTGTATTCTGCTTTTGTTGGGTGGCGTCTTCTATAAGTTGGTTAAGCTTAATTGATTTGACAGTGTTGATCATAAGCTGTTTTAATTTTTCTTTATTTTTTTCATTCTGCTGATATCTAATTTTAATTGTCTTATTTTCTGGGTCACTGTTTATTATATATGAGAGTACAAAGTAAAAGCCTTGTATGTCATGTCTGCATTTACTGCTGATGTTATGGAGAGCTTTCTTGTCAGCCTACCCATGAGGAAAATTAAGATTGTCTTGAACTGTGTCCCAGGGAAATGGTCAAGGCTTTTGAAAAGAAAGTAGAGAACAAAAGGATATGCCAAGCGTGTACACAGTTGTGTTATTGACAGAATGTGTGACTCCTTTATGAATGTGTGACTTTCTGAAAACTCTTATTTTAAAGAGTTATCTTTATTCTATTAGGCACTTACTAAGCGGGGTTTTGCACATACCAATAGAATTTTTAGTTCTATCAAGTCTTGTTAAGTCAACTCTAAACGGCCTTCATTGCAGTTTTGTCTACCTCAATGGGAGGCTTTCTGCAGGAACAACCTCAGTTGTGACAATGTATGATGTCAGTGAAATGATCAGAATTCAAGTTTCTATGTACTAGTAGCTGTAATGAGCTGCTAATTGAAGGTGACAAGCTGTTTTTTACTTCCCAGCTGGTCTGGCAAAATGTTAAATTTCATTCATTATTAACTCATTGCTTCTCAGCAGAAGATTAGTTTAATTATTGGGAACATTAAGAGAAGAGTTTTTGCCTTGTGTTAATTTTAGAGATTGAAGTTGAAGTTTTACTAGATTTCCCCTTCCCCGACCCAGTTTTGCCAATTGTATACAGTTGTGTGAATACCCAATATAATCACGACACACCAATATTTCTATCACACCCCCAAAAATTTCTCATGCCACTTTATACTATATAGTTTTCCTCCTTCCCTGGTCCCTGGCAACCACTGATATGCTTCCTATTATAGTTTTGCCTTTCTAGTTTTTCATTGGAAGGGACTCGCACAGTATGTAAACTTGAATGTCTTGACTTTTTTTTTTTTACTTCATAATGGTTTGAGGTTCATCTCTATTGTATGGATAGTTTATTTTTTTAAATTGCTGAGTAATATTCTAGAAGCATTCTATTACATTAATATATCACAATATATCCATTCCTTTATTGATCAACACTTAACTGTTTTTGTTATTATGAATAACAGATTACAATTTTTTATTGATTTCAGAGAGGAAGGGATAGGGAGAGAGATAGAAACATCAATGATGTGAGAGAATCATCGATTGGCTGCCTCCTCTCTCCTCCCTCCCCCCCACACTGGGGATGGAGCCCACAACCCAAGCATGTGCCCTTGACCGGAATTGAGCTGGGACCCTTCAGTCTGCAGGCTGACGCTCTATCCACTGAGCCAAACCGGCTAGGACAAATTACAAATTTTTTGAGGAACCTTCATACTGTTTTCCACAGTGGCTGCACTAGTTCCCGTTCCCACCAACAGTGCAAAAGGGTTCCCCTTTCTCTACATTCTTACTAACATTTTTTTAAATTAACATTTTTTTTCATTTATAGTTTATATTCAATATTATTTTGTATTGGTTTCAGGTGTATGGCATAGTAGCTAGACACTCATATACTTTACAAAGTGTTTCCCTGATATTTCTAGTACCCACATAGTCCCATACATAGACATTACGATATTATTGACTATATTTCCTTTGTTATACTTTACATTCCCATGACTATTTTGTAACTACCAATCTGTATTTCTCAAGCTCTTCACCTTTTCATCCAGAAAATATAGAGTTTACTGGCCATCCTACCTTGTGAAAACTAATGGCATTTGTCTTTTTTTTTTTTTTTTTTTTTAGCACTAGCCCACCTTACTGTTGTGTTGATCTGTATTCACTTCGTACTGGGGAAATGGTCAAGTCCATTCAGTTTAAAACTCCTATCTATGATCTTCATTGCAATAAGCGGTAAGCATTTTTTTTTTCATGTATTTCTTTTACAAAGTAACATATCTTCTGGGCATGTGGAGCCCTGCCAATATAATTGACTATCTTTGATTTTTTTAAATTGCAAAAACACCTTTTGAATTCTGCTAAGTCAGGGGTCCTCAAACTTTTTAAACAGGGGGCCAGTTCACTGTCCCTCAGACCGTTGGAGGGCCGGACTATAGTTTTAAAAAAAACTATGAACAAATTCCTATGCACACTGCACATATCTTATTTTGAAGTAAAAAAACAAAACGGGAACAAATACAATATTTGTATTTGCATGTGGCCCGCGGGCCATAGTTTGAGGACCCCTGTGCTAAATGGAGTAGCTCTTAAGATTTCTTAACAAATGTTTTCAAATTTTTAGTCTTGACTCATTAGTGAATTTTGAATTAAATTTAGTGAATTGTTAACCAGTATTTTAAAAATGAAATGGAAAAGAATAGAAAGTATCTGAGCAAACATACAAAGGTTATGAGAAATGATTTTATATGTATCACTTAACTTTTTAGTATTTATTATGTATGTACTTCTGTGTTTATTGGTTTATGAAATGTATTTTCCTTTTAGCACTGTGAATGCAAAAAAAGATTTTTTTTTCCTTATTCCTTAAGACTACAATTGAGATAATGTTTCCCTTCATTAAGATCTGTTTTGTTAAATTCTCTGGGAAAATTTTCAGATCTGGGTTGAACTTCCGCCTGACCTAGTAATAATGAAGAATTAATTTTATTTTAAGTACAAAACATTGAAGGAGAAAGGGACCCTAAGAATCTTCTGTTACTCAATACTTTACTTTTACAATTGAGCAAATTGAAGCCCTACGATCATAAATGTCTTGATCAAGGTCATGGGTGCAAAGTATAGTTCTTCCATTGCATTAAAAAGCAAACACACAGAACATGGAAAATTAAATATTTTGTGCTGTGTCAACATAAAATAAATTTTATAATAAAAGATTCAGGTTAGATTTTAAAGAAATATTTCAGAAAGTGACTCAGAAAGGTTGAATGTAATAGGAAGGGTAGACATACGCGATAAATATAAAGAACACATTGGCTTTGATACTAATGTAAAAGCATTTGAATGTAACAGGCAAAGAAAAACTACTCAGTGATAGTATACAATTCATATTGAAGGTCTAATTGTTATGCATATTTCGACTTCAGTAATATCAAACTCAAAATTATAGGAAACTTGAGGCCTGATGCACAAAATTTGTACAAGAGTAGGCCTTCCTTCCCCTGGCTGTCGGCACCGGCTTCCCTCTGGCACCCCGGCCCTGGGCTTCCCTCTGGCCGCTGGCAGCCCACGATGTGGGCTTCCCTCGCAGCCCTGGCTTCACCCGGTAGGGAAGATCGTAGGAAGGACATCCAGTGTAATTAGCATATCACACTTCTATTATTATAGATAGGAGGAATACCTTATTCTTGGGATAATGTAATTATACTATGACATATCAAATTATTCAAAGACATTGAGTATGTTAAATACTTGCCAATCATTATAATATTTATTTGATTTTTAAAAACTTTGAAATTTGCCTGTTAATGTCTTTGCAAGGAATAGCTCTAAAATGTAGTTTGTAATATAACTTTATTTGGGATGTATTTTAGGAATTTCAGTTTAAGAAAATTTGTGACTAAATTATTTTCCTAATCATTTGTAAATCTCTGGGAGAACCTATAGTTCATACGGAGTCTGATTAACTTTTAATATATTGAGTCAATCAGAAATGACTCATTTACCCTGAATAATAGTTGTCTGAGGTGTTTTTTTTTTTGCTTTTGTGTTGGGAAATTCAGCAATAATTTTAAGTGACAAATTAGATAAATCCATTTTATGTTCAATTCCATGACTTTGAGCCAGAAGTGGAAAAATACTTTTAGTAAATAGCCAGCAATTTATTGACCTCATACATTCTTAATGAACATAGATTTATTTGATTTATAATGAGCGGAGACAAAATTTTGTTCAGAGGAAAAATTTTTTTGAGATGTAGTTGGTTCTCTGTCACTTTTATTCCTCTAATATCTATCTTGATTATTAAGGGTTTTGTGGTTATATTTTTGCCTTTTATGAGACATATTTCTAGCCTAAATTGTATAAGAAATGCTTGTTTTTATTAAAGTTTTAAAGATAGTTACTTGTTTACATCTAGATGATTTAACTTATTTATGATTCTATAGACTTTCACACTCATATTTTTAAATTTTTTTCCTTCTAATTTTAGGATCCTCGTCGTAGTCTTGCAGGAGAAAATTGCTGCCTTTGATAGCTGTACTTTCACAAAAAAGTTTTTTGTCACAAGTATGTACCAACTTGATATTTCCTGGGATTCAATTATTAGGATATTCCTATATTTCTGTTGATGTCTTATTTAGTACTATAATTTTAGGGTATGAATTTTCAACTCACGATACGTTTTCCACATATTACTAAGCAAGCCTTGTACTAGATTGCTTCAGTTTCTTCTTATATATTCTCCTCATGTAGCTATGTTGTACTTTTAAAGCAGTTGTTTAATTAATTATCATAACATACATGAGGTAACTGTATTATCACACATGAGGAATTTAAAGAAATTTTATCTTTATTGTTGAAAATATTGCAGATGTCTCTTTCTCCCCCCACATTGACCCCTTCTAGCCCACACCCGGGTGAAATGTGTGAGTCTATCTGTCTCCCTCCTCCTTTTCCCCACATCCTCAGACTTCTACTACTGCCCAGAAGTGCAGAAATAAGCATAGAATCTACACACACGGGTAGAGAGGGAGAGGGATTTTTTTAAAAACGTAATAGACAAGACTAAGATTTGTAGGGCAGGCTAGAAGGATGAAAATTCCAGCAAGAATTGATTCTGAAGGAAGTCTGGAGTTAGAATTTTTTTTCTACTGTAGTCTAGTAAGATGGTAGTTTTTGTCTGTCTCTGTCTATTTCACTTAGCATAATATCCATGTTGTCACAGATGGTAAGGTTTTATTCTTTTTAATGGCTAAGTAATATTTCATCGTGTGTGTGTGTGTGTGTGTGTGTGTGTGTGTGTATCACGTTTCTTTATCCGTTTATCTTTTTTTTTTAAATTAGCATGGATAGCTAGGCTGTTTCCATGTCTTGGTGATGATAAATAATACTGCAGTGAACATAGGGATGCATATAGTTTTCAAATGTGTTTTCATTTTCTTTGAATAAATGCCCAGAAGTAGAATTGCTGGGTGTTATGGTAGTTCTGATTTAAAAAATTTGAGGAATCACCATACTATTTTTCATAGTGGCTATACCAACTTAACAATTCCACCAATATAGCATGCGAGTTCCCTTTTCTTCACATTTTTGGCAACTTGTTGTGTGTTGACTTTTTCATAATAGCTATTCTGACAGGTGTGAGGGGATATCTCACTGTGGTTTTCATTTGCATTTCCCTTATAGCCAGTAGATTTGAGCATCTTTTCATATTTTTGCTTTAACTTCCCTGCCTTTGGGAGTCAAATTTATAAAGTTCTCTGTGACACCAAGATCCAAAAGTTTACTACCTATGTTTTTTTTTCTATGTGTTTTATTTTTTCATGGGATCTAATACTTAGGTCCTTGATCCATTTTGAGTTAATTTTTGTGTATGGTGGCAGATAGTCTAGTTTCATTCTTTTGCATGTGACCTTCTCATTTTTGCAGCACCATTTATTTGTTTTCTCCATTGTGTGTTTTTGGCTCCTTTGTTGAAAATTGGTTGCCCGTACACATGTAGATTTGTTTCTCAATTCTCAGTTCTGTTCCATTGGTCTATGAGGCTATCGTTTTGATCATGCAAGCATTTAATTTCTAAAATACTTTGAAAAGCTCTTGTGTAATACCATTGTGAGTACCTTAGTTATGTATGAATCGGTACTGTAAAATTAGTAGAGACAGCTGTGTCCATCAGAGAAAGCATCTTGGGAATTTGTGCCAAAGGGGAGAAGGATCAGGTAAAGAGAGCTGATAGAGAACTGGAAAGGGAACACAGCCAGTATGATGAGAAAGGAGACACCTTTGTCTTTGGCTATACAGAAAAGGTGGCCCTGAGCAGCTGTCTGATGTGGAAATCTAAAACTCATGTATGATTAAGAAAACAAAAGACAAGGACTGATAGGTGTCATTAGCAGTCATTTCCAGTGTGCTTAAATTGAAAAGTAGATAGGAATTCTCCAGAGAGAGAGCAAAGGATTATATAGTAAGTAAGTGACTCTTTCCATTGGCCCCCATTTTTACTTGGAGGAGGAACATGTATTCCTTATAGTCCTAATGTCATTTCTTAGTATTAAGATGTGTTCTTCATATATGTTCATGATGAATAAGAAATGTAAGGAATGAATTTAAAGGATCTAAAAAATGCACAATTATTTTTAATTTTTGAAATAGATTTTTTTCTTTAATGTTTAGAGGCAAATTTGTAAATTATCTAAGAAAGGTTTGGAATGTTAATGTGAGAACTCAGTCCAGCTAAAGGTAAAAGTCAAATCTATCTCTCTTCTTTTGATTTCCCATTTATGTACGATGGACTAGGCTGCCATGGTGTTTTCACAGCCTGGTGCCTGATACATAGTGGACACTCAGCGAATATGTGCAATGAAATCACTTAAGGCTTTCTTATTCTCTGCACATTATTCCCACCTGTTTAGCCTTATAATGGCAATACTCTTCAACTCGTGATGTTTCTTTTTTAAAATTAGCATGTATAATTATTTTATTTTCATGATACTTTCATGGAAATATGTAAAATCCTTATGAGATAATGTTAAGAAAAGCTAAACATAAAATTTTACCTATACTTTCAGGAAGAGTCTATGGATGCGCAAGGGCAAAGATATGGAGATAGTTAAAAGATCAGTGGCTGCTGGGGGAATGGAGAGGGCAGAAATGATAAATAGGTGCAGAGAATTTGTAGGGCAGTGAAAATACTCTATCATATTACAATGATGGATATATGTCAGCATACATTTATCCAATCCATAAAACATATAATGCCAGTAGTTTGTCTTAGGGTTCAATTTTGGTGTTGACATTGGCAAAAGAATAGACAGATGTATCAGCGGGACAGAATAGAGAGTACAGACATAGATCTTTGACAAATAAGGAAAAGTAGTACAATGGAGCAAAGATATCTTCAACAAAAGGTTCTGGGACAAGTGGACATTCATGTGCCAAAAACTGAATCTAGATATAGACCTTATATCCTTCATAAAAATTAAAATTAATTATAAGTGCAATACACAAAAGTATAAATGTATAGACTGTAACAGGGGAAAACCTAGATGACTTTGGGTATGGTGATGGCTTTTTAGATGCAACACCAAAGGCACAATTCATGAAATAAATAATTGATAAGGTGGACTTTATTGCAATTAACAACTTCTGCTCTGTAAAATACATTGTCAATAGAATGAGATGACCAGCCACAGACTGGGAGAAAATATTTGTAGGAGACACATCTAATAAAGGACCGTTATCCAGACTATACATAGACTCTGAAAATTCAACAGGAAGAAAACAAACTGATTGAAAAATGGTTCAAAGACCTTAAATAGAAAAAAGAAGATTCAGATGGCAAATAAGCATATGAAAATATTCTCTCAATGGTAGTTCATCAGTGAAATTTAAATTTAAACAGCCTGGCTGGTGTGGCTTAGTGGTTGTGCATGGACCCATGAACCAGGAGGTCAATGGTTGGATTCCTGGTCAGGGCACATGTGTGGGTTGCAGGCTCAATCCCCAGTATGGGGGCGTGCAGGAGGCAGCCTATTGATGTTTCTCTCTCATGGATCTTTGTATCTCACTATCTCTCTCCCTTAGTTTCTCTCTTTAAAAAAATCAATAAAATCATATTTAAACAAAAACAACAACAATGAGATGCCAACATATTATTAGACAAAGCCAAAATGCCAACTATTTGATAGCACCAAATGCTGGCAAAGATGTAGAGCAATAGGAAATCTCATATATTGCTCCTGGGAATGCAAAATAGTACAACCACTCTAATGGACAGTTTGATAGTTTCTCATAAAACTAGACATTTATCTATCAATGGGCATTTACATAAAGGAGTTGAAAACTTATGTCCACTTAAAAAACATGCCCATGGTATTTATAGCAGCTTTATTCACATTGCCAAAATGTAGAAGCCACCAGGTTGTTCTTTAGTGGGTGAGTGGACAGATAAACTGGTATGTTCAGATGATGGAATGTTGTTATTAATTTTTTTTATTGCTGAATAATAGTATATTTAATAACACATTTTGTCTATTTATCAATTGATGGACCTTTAGTTTCCATTTTCGTGCTATTATGACTAATGCTTTTTTGAGTGAAAGGTTTTTATGGGGAAATATTTTTCATTTCTTTTGGATATAAGTATTTGTGTGGACATACATTTTCATTTCTCTTGGGTATGTACCTAGGAGTCAAATTGCTTGGTCATATGGTAATTCTATCCTTCTCAATTTGAAGAGCTGCCAGGCAGAGTGATTGCAACATTTTACATCACCACCAGCAGTGTCTGAGGGTCCAATTTCTCCACATTGACGCTGACGATCGTTATTGTTTCTTTGACTATAGCCATTCTATTAGGGTCTCATGAAGTGGTATTTGATTCTAGTTTTAATTTGCATTTCCCCAATGGCTAGTGATGTTGAGCATCTTTTCATGGCTTGTTTGCCATCTTATATCTTCTTTGTTAAATTTTATATTGAGTTGTATTTTCCTCATTACCATAGTTCTGTTTATATTCTAGGTGTAGTCAGTTATCAGGTACATGTTTTGCAAAACTCCACTTCTGTGAATTGTCTTTTCTCTTTCTTGGTGGTGTCCTTTGAGGCACAAAAGTTTTCATTTTGATGAAGTTCGATTTATCTATTTTTTTATCACTTATTTTTGGTGTCATATCTAAGAAAGCATTGCCTAACCTAAGATTATGCAGATTTACCACTATATTTTGTTACAGAGGTTAATACTTTTAGCTTTTTCATTTTTAACTTTATTTTTATTGTTGACATTAATGAAGATGTCTCCATCCCAACCCCACCCCTTTTGCCATCTCCACCCAGCCCACCCTTCCCTCTCCTCTGGCGATCACCACACTGTGGTCTGTGTCTATGATTTATGTATATATGTTCTTTTATGTCTTTGATTCATTTACAGTTAATTTTTGTATGCTGTGTGATGTCAAGGTTCAGTTTAATTCTTTCGCACATGGATATCCAGATGACCCATCATTTGTTGAAAAAATTATTCTTTCCTCATTGACTTGCCTTTGTATCCTTGTTGAAAGTCAGTTGACCATAAATGCAGACATCAGATTCTCCCTGCCCCCGCAAAGGTCTGAACTCTTTTGAGTTATTCTTACCAAGAAAAATAAGGCAGAGTGTTACAGAGAGTGGTTAAACACTTTGGTTTTCAAAATGAGTTCAGGCGAACTCTCCATTAGGACCAGCTTCTGAGAGGATGCCCTCTAAATTGTATGTCTTGTGCCTTTTTAATTACTCTAATAATGGAAGAATCTTCATTTATTATGCTTTTCTTCAATTTTATCTTTATTTAAATTTAGAAACCCAAGTTTTTAAATATCTAGTTCTTCTTTACTTTGTTCACAAACATTGTAAACTTGTTAGAATTAGTCCTAATATTATAGTGGCTTGGTTTCTCCCCCTTTCACTTGTTTTCAAAGTTTAGCTGGAGGCAACAGTTAATCTTTAAAGGAGTCATGCTTATAAAGTTGGGATAGTGCTGAGTGGCTGATGTTCTGCTGATTCCAGCTGTAAAATGTTTTTGAAGAGCAGAAAAACAATTTGCTTTTATCCCAATACACTGTAACTCTTGAGGTCCACCGAGTTTCTAAAAACCTTGACTCTAAAAGTAAAATGAATTGTTAACTATATTTGTTCCGTACTATGCTTTTGTTTTAGAAAGGAGAATATATACTTATTAGGATCTAGTGAGGCAAAATGGCTATTAGAATTGAGAGTTAGATTATGTTGACTTTAAATTTCAGGAGATTCGCTACCTCTTATATAATGCCACAATTCAATATTCTTTATTTATTTAACGACATTGAAAAGGGGGAAACTTTCTTATGCACCATCCCTATACTCCTTTCTCTAGCTCTAAAAATGTCTGTGGAATAGAAGCATGCACATATATAAAAGCACATTTTTGTATGAGTAGGATTAGTTTACTCAATGGGATTTATAGAAATAAAATCTTTTATCTAAATGATACATACTATTTGTTAGAGTGGGTTGTTTTGCACTATTTTAATGGGCCTTTGTCCTAGGTTTTCCCCCATAATATTTAGCCATAATTAACATTAAGTGGATATAGCAACATACATTTTTAAATCTTCTTTTACAATAAAATCTCAAGATATGCCCTAGCCGGTTTGGCTCAGCGGATAGAGCGGCGGCCTGCGGACCGAAGGGTCCCAGGTTCGATTCCGATCAAGGGCACATGCCTGGGTTGTGGCCTCGGTCCAACGTACAGGAGGCAGCCGATCAATGATTCCCTCTCATCATTGATGTTTCTATCTCTCTCTTCCCCTCCCTTCTTCTCTGAAATCAATAAAAAAAAAAAGATAGATGGCAGTTGAAGGGTGTAAAATGAAAACTAGTGTATAATGGAAGCAACATCAATGTGGGTTTATCCAGTGTTTGTGAACACAGCAACACCAACCTTTCAAAATGATGGCTATTGCTTCTCACAAGGCTCTCTGAATTCAGGGAACCATGGAATATACATTTAAAAAAGATCTCTATCAAAATTGGCTTTAAAATATCTGGCTCTTAGCTGAGCACACTATTTTAATATTTGAAAAAATTTTCTATATAGATAACATTTTTGGCCATTACCTAATAAATATGCTCTAATTTATTAATTTTCTTTATTAAGAAGTATGCTTTTGAATAAACTATCATGCATTGATTACTCTATGTCTTTTAGGATCAATAACATAGACTGGGACTTTCTGCTAGGTAGCGTGTATGTGAGCAGTGCAGTTTGAAATGTAGAAATGCTATTTTTTGATACTATGTTTATGTAATTTGGTTATTTATTTTAGCCATGGGAAGAAAAGGTTATTGTTATAAAATCTTGTTTGCCTCATGATTGCAAAAATTTAGATTCCAAATTGAGACTTAAACTATGAAATAGATAACCTTAGCTTGATCCTCTAGTGTACATTTTAGAGGAAAACATTTGTGAAAATATTAACCAGATACTTTTGGAATGATAAACCAGGAGTCCTTTAGGTTAGGCTTTTTGCATTCTTTCATTCTGCAGTCTTTCGACTAGTCCCTTTGAAGCATTTCTATGAAAACTGAAACAGACTCATAGATTCAGAGTACAGACTTGATGGTTGCCAGAGGGGAGAGGGGTTGGGAGATTGGGTGAAAAAGGTGAAGTGATTGAGAAGTACAGATTGGTAGTTACAGAATAGTCACGGGGATGTAAAGTACAGTATAGGAAATAAAAGTCAATAATATTGTGATAACTATCTATGATGCCAGTTGGGTACTGAAAATATCAGGGGTACACTTTGTGAAGTATATGATTGTCTAGCCAATATGCTGCACACGTGAAACCAATACAGAATCATATTAAATGCAAACTGTAGTTGAAAAATAAAAAGCAGTTTTGTGAGACAGTGGAATATTATTTTGTGTAGTTGACAGATGAGGGCGATAGCCTCAAGACACTTTATTGGCACAGCCAGGAGGGGAGATGAGAGCCTCGAGGATGACAGACATCACATACTTGACTAAATTTTGTGTGTCTTGGTTAGTAGAGTTCATTGGTGTTTCTATGCATAGATGGTGTCCACTGCCAGGAATATGTGATTTATTCTTGTTGAAAGGAGAGAACCACAAAATAATCCTTTCTGTTATTTTTTATTAGCTGGACTCGATTATGTAAATAGTTCCCCGACATCTTTCTAATGAGGTACCCTTTGTGGATTTCTTCTCTTTGGCCTCATACTTAAGTGGTTGTCTCCCCCCACCCCCTCAATTGTGCATCGTATCTTCTTTTCCTTTTAGGTGTATATATTCTTTATCTTTTGCCCTTAAATTCCTGAACCAACTGTATCCTTCCTCTGGCCTCTTCAAACATAGTTGCTTGACTTATGAAGTTGTAGACTTACAAACTTTAAATGATTTGCCTTAGCTTCTCTCTCTTCTTCTAGGAATAACTGTATAAAATGCTCAATATTTGGGAAAAGTGATTACCAGATTTGTTTCTTATTTGAATAAAGTAAAAAAATCAAAGGGAAACTCTAGAGGAAAAAATAAAAAACCTCATTTAGCTATTAGAATCATGACTAGTATTATGGTAATTTTATGTGAAACTTGAAAAAAAAAGCATTTGTTTGTTATGTTTTAATGGCATCAAAATATGGTACATCAACAGAAAATTTATTAAGAAATTTCTAAATATTGCCATTTGAAATTTTCCAGGCTGCTATCCTTGTCCAGGGCCCAACATGAATCCTATTGCTCTTGGGAGCCGCTGGCTGGCTTATGCAGAAAACAAGGTAAGGCAGGACTCTTGGATTATTGGTAATGGACCACTCGCTCCCAAATTTTCCAAAGCGATTACCAACCAATGATGACTATTTAACTTACTAGTTTGTTTTCTTTGGTTTTGGTTTTAGTTGGACACTAACAATTGTCCCCTCTCTCTCCTTCCAGTTAAGGCAGGAGGCAGCAGAGGGATAATTTTCTTAATTCTTTTGAATGTTTGTGAATGAATGAATGAATGAGTGAGTCAGTGGGTGAATGAGTGAGATAGATTCTTTTTATTAACTAAAACAACCACATTTGCTGTTGATCACCTGTCATTTGGACAATTCCTCACCATTGACCTTGAACTCTATCTACTTAAGCAATCATTCAGTGTGGCAGTGTGATATCTCACATCAGACCTTCAAAACTATTTCATTATAATATATACTAGTTACTGACCCAGTGCATGGATTTGTGCACATTGAAAGGAAATTAATTAGAAGATGGCCGGTGGGGTGGGACTGGGTGAGATGGGCCTGACATGTCCTGGAGCCAACCTTCCCGGTCCCTCCCCAGCATCTGTGGAGTGAGCAGAGTCCCTCCGGCAGGTGGGGTCCCTCAGCCTGGCCTGCAGGGATCACGCTGAAACCAGCACTCCGACATCCCCCGAGGGGTCCCAGAGTGTGAGACTTGCTGTCCTACAGGGTTTGGAACGCAAACACAAGTATGCAGTAAACCAGATTCGGGGCCACAGTGCCCCAGCAACAACATAACCCATGGCCGAAGGTGGAATCGCGTGGCTCAGCAAGAAATTGGGCTCCCTTCTCTCTGGTTCCGGGGTGTGTCACCCGAGAACCAAGAACCGCTGCTGCCAAGTCACTGCAGCTTGGCATCTTCTGCATTGAGTGTCTGCCCCCTGGTGGTCAATGCGCGTCATACCTACCGGCCAGTAGCATGGTTACACAGTCCGACAATCACTTAGTCTTTTATATATACAGATATTGTTATTGCTTTGAGGGGTTGTTTTTTCATACAATGTTAGTGAAGAAGGAGAATTTGATTTTAGATTAAAAGAATAAAAGGTTTACATATTAATCTTTATCAAATGACCTGGTTTTAAATTATATAAAACATTTTTGTTTCTTTATGTTTGGAGAGGTAGGTTCTTTTTGAATTCTATTGGCTTGTAATAATTCGTATCACAACATGGAGCTGTTCTAACACTCTATTATTGTTATTTCATTACAAATGTAAATGTAAGAATTTGGCTAATGATACTGTATAAATATATATGTTTCTCCCCCCCCCCCCCCCCCACCAAATTTAGGAAATGTAGGAGCAGTGGAGAATTTAATACCAATTATTGCTCAGCACATGAGAGAATCATGTTTGTCAAACTAGTGATTTACTCTGAAAATTGGCAGGTCAATATATTTACATCAGACATGAATAGGGGCATGTCTTTTTCATTCTAATGGTAAAACTAGTAAGCCCTCTGAAGTGGATAGCTACTATATATGTCATAGTTGATTTATGCGTAATTTGTGCGACTTTTCCACTGACACAGTTGAAAATGAAAATATGGCACAATCTTTTGTCTATTTTTTTTAGGTTTCCTTTTACAATCTTTATGTAGGAATTAAGAGGACAAAACCCCTAATTTGCTAGCATGTTAAATATTTAATGTTAGGAAGTCATGTCTAAGTCCTTTGATTATGTTTTTAAATTTTATTTGTGGAAAGGCTGCCAGAGCCCAAATTCTACCATTTTAGAGTTTATGAATTCTTAAAAACTATTCATCTTGTAATTAAAAATCGCATTTGAGCATGGAACGGCCTGAATGGCACCAGTAGATTATAAAAAGGGCTAAAAGTGTCTGAGCAGGGCTTTTGGCTGTTTGTATGAAGTACACTTGTACAAACATTTCCACCCACCACCATCATTATGCATGGTAAATAAGCTCTGTCCTAATAGCCTGTAGAGTTAAACAGTTTAATAGAAATGACTTTCTGATTTCTCTCTCTCTCTCTTTCCAGTTGATTCGATGTCATCAGTCCCGTGGTGGAGCCTGTGGGGACAACAATCAGTCTTATACTGCCACGGTCATTAGTGCTGCTAAAGTGAGTATCCAGTAGTCTCTGGGAGTTGTGATTATTTGGAGTAATTATCAAGTTTCTCCCCTGAATTGGATTGAGATGGTCTCTTCCCCTTTTCATCCACAAGTGTAATAACCTTAAGAAGTAAGTCAGACTTATTTCATGTCTCATGAGAATTGGTGGCTCAATGATTAGGTATTTAATTTCTTAAAGTTCATAAGTAATACTTTATTTTATATTGTAATGATTATAGGGTTTATAGTTACCCAATTTTAAATATTTAAGTCTGTTAGCTAGAGTAAAGTCTGTTATGTAATTAATTCCACTTTTGAAAGAAGCTGTACACGTCCTAAGTAGTGACTTCTGGATTCTTTATGTGTGATTAGCATTATTCTACCTAAACTGACATCCCTTTGCGTCCTTTAACATTTATGAATCTTTAGTTGGCAAAAAGTAGTATTCTTTAAGAAAACCTGAGTCAGATCCCTGGCAAATTCTAAGGTTCCTTTTAGTCACAGGCTGCCCCTTGCATGTTTGTCACATGACTTCTTTCTGTGTGTGTGCTTGGGTTAATTTTGACGATGGCTCGTAAACTTTATGCTGATTATAAGGTATTTTTATAATCACTATCCTTTTGAATTCTGAAGTATACAACAAAACAATTCTAATAATAGGGGTGACATAGCGAATCTAAATGACAGCATGTAATAAAAAGCACAACTATTCAGAAGAGAACAACAGTTTAAAGCAAACCACAGGGAGGCAATCAAAGGTCACACTGTTTTCGTGTGAAACATACAAAAATACTTCAAGACTGATCACAAATGCTTACAATGAAGTGTTTTAGCATGTTTTTATGCTTACAGCACTCTATATTTTAGATGTCAGAATCTTTATTAAAAAAATTGCTTACTTCTCTCCATTGGCTGTGCCAGAATTATGATGGTTCTTTCAAGGAAGGGAAATCTCAGACAGAGTAATTAGGTAGCTTCAGTGTTACTCAGTTAGTTTACAAGAGGTCCATTTCTCAAATATTCAGTTCTTTTTAGACTGACCTGTCATACACTTGCCTCAGGATAGCTCATTGTATTATCATGTAGAATAATTTTCAGTTATGTGATGTAGGACAGTTTTTCAGCTCTTCTTTGCTATAATTATGTTTTTGTGTGCTTTCATAAAAGGAAAGTGACCTGCTTTATTCAGTAACTGGTAAGCTGTTTAACTGTAGCTAAAAGTGGACATGCTGGGATGAGACTAGACTAAATATGCTTTGAAAAGAACAAGCTCGAACTTCCATGCTCCAATATTGCAAACTGTGAGAAATACACTCAGATCTTCCACATTTAACTGTAAAAATTACGTTGATGATCACACCCTCCAGTCAATTCCCAATAGACCCTTGGTCACCAATGAAAGTGATGTTAATTGACATTCATTGTCAGCTCTGGCAATGTATAAAATTCTTCCAGTAGCACCTGAATAAAGTGGTAATGTTTAATTTTTGTTAATTGCATTTGCCTGTTTTTAATGCTTGTATTCTTGTTTGTAAATTTATAAAATAAAGGAAAAATATAACTATGAACATAAGTCACATTTCTTTTAAAATATTTTTAATTGAATAATTAAAAAAATTACAGTTTGCATTCCATGTGAATTTGCATTAGTTTTGGGTGCATATTGGTTACACAATCATATATTTTACAGTGTAATCCCCCTGATATATCAGTACCCAACTGGCATCATACACAGTTAGTATAATATTAATATTAGAGGGAAAAGGGGAATGGTTATTTTAATACATGCACAAAAACATATATGCATTGATGAAATATTTTAGTGGGTAGTGATAATTTCTGATCCTCTAAAATTCAATTTTTTTCAAATTACCAAGTTGTTTAAACACCCTTATTTTTAAGTATGTTTCTGATAACTCCAATATTTGGTTTCGTTTTCAGTGTATTTTTGTTTTTTCAGCTGGTCCTTACTTATAATGTCTTGACTCATGGTTTGCCAGATCTTATTTCAAAAATCTTTAGAAACAATTTTAAATTTGATATGGTATCAGAGTTCTGCAACACGGTCAGTCTTGGATAATTTTAATCCAATTTTAGGGATTGAAATTAAATGTTTTAAATAATGTTTACCTGAAATAGCTCTGACAACCTCATTACTACTGGTTCTCTCTGCTGTCTATTCTGTATCCCTCAGGTTCCCAACCAAGGCATGGAGGGAAGGTCACCCAATTGACCCCTTGAACATAGTTCCCCAAGTCTATCGAAAAAACCACCCAGTCTTTTAGCAGCCCTCCCTAGAATCATCAAATGCATCTAGGCCTAAAATATTTCCTTGTCCTCTTGGATTTTGACCTAAGAACTCTTCACATTCTTGTTAAATACTCCATATGTTCAAGCAGAGTTGAACGCCCCCCCCCCCCGCCCCACCCCAATTTTTTCTACTTGTTTTCTTTGGGAGGATTAACCTGATTTGCCTAGACTATCATTGAAAATAGAAAATAAAAATTTCTTATTTCTTACCAGTTTTTTTCATTTCTATGTAATATAATATTTTTTGAGATGTAACATGGAAATAATTTTAAAAGTCATGTAGTACATGCTCTTTAAGAAGATGTTAATCTTAAAATAAATTCACAACCATTTCATTATATCACTTTCTCAGAAAGATTAATATTTCTCTCTCTCTGACAGTTTCTGATGTGGATTTATAGAGGTTACATAACCGTAGACGGATTAATTTTTAAATTTTTACTCTTTTTTCACTGTGCAATTATAAATGTAAATATATTAGTTGAATATGTACTTGGATCTCCTATGCAGCAATACTTTCTTTTCTTTTCTTTTCTTTTCTTTTCTTTTCTTTTCTTTTCTTTTCTTTTCTTTTCTTTTCTTTCTTTTCTTTCTTTCTTTCTTTCTTTCTTTCTTTCTTTTTATTTTTTCAATTTCTGGGTTCTCAAATAGTACTGAAAATTAAAGTTTATACGTTTAGATTTTTCCCTTTGATTTTGAAAATAATTTATTTGTCTTTCCTTAATAATATAATAGTGATGAATTCTCTGTGGTGGTGATAAAGGAAAAACTTAATTTTGAAATTGTTCAAATTGGATTATTTTGATAAATTTATAAAATCTTGTTCCACATTTTCTAGTTACTCTATAACTGTCCTAGTTGAGTTTTCCTTTTAATGTGTTTTAACCTCAGTATGGTAAATTGATTTAATAAAAATGCCTCTATTTTCTCGTTATCTGATAACTTCTTAATGACAACTAACAGGTTTTGTGAGAGCAGTACCATTAGCACTAATGGACAGGGAGGACAACTGATACGGCATGAGAAAGGTTAAAGATGTCTAGTGACCCTTTGGCAAATCTGTCTGCAACAGAACGGAATGAGTACTATGCTGATTCGAATTTTTGGTCATAGTGGATTATCTCACATTCATTATAAACTTACGTTCAGTTTTATTACAGATAGTTCTGTGATTACTCTTAAAATTATTCATATATATATATATATATATATATATATATATATAGATAGATAGATAGATAGAATGAGCTTTTGAGTTTAGATACCCCAGATTGTGAAGACACTACCTAAATTAACATATCCATTTGGCCTAGTTAGATTTATTGTTTTAATTCCTAATTTTTTTTCTTAGCCTTTGTTGTATTTGAGAAAATCATCAGGTATGCACATACCCTTTCTACTAAAAATCTAGTGAAAAGGCTAATTACACAGTGAGGTGATTTAGGTATCTAAATGTGATATATGAAAATTATTAAATAATATTATATATTGCTTCTGGACACTACTGCTCATCGATGTGACATGGAAACAAATTTCTTCTAGAAGCAAAGGTCTTTACTAATGTAGAAAACGTCTAGCACCCCTCTCTCTCTTCCTGCATTAGACCTTATTTGGAAGTTAGTAAGCTATGATAGATAATACTATCTTGTCATTTACTATACAAAGTGCAGATTTGATGACTGTTAAATTTTAATAACATGACCCCACTGGTAGTCATTATTTATTTTTTTATGAGAAATACTATAACTCTTTCATGTAATATGAGCCCTTGCCTAAGAAATATACTACCCTGCTTCCCTGGTCCCCCCATCCTTGAGTTTTTTCCTAATTCTTTTATGTGAACTTTCCCGTTTATCTTGTGGTTGGCTTTGGTACATTATTTCCCACTTTCTGTGTGCTCTAGTTGTTTTAGTTTGTTCCTATTCATTGGTATAAGAGCATGAAATAATGAGCTCAAGGGCAAATGGGGAGGATATACAAGCTAAGACTTTAAACCTGAAAGGCATTTCTTTGATAAAGGGGTAGCTCCGTTTAAGTGGGAGCATCTCCATTAGCATTAATGGAGTCAGTACATCAGCTGAAGCATCTCAGAGGTTAATAAGGCTTCCTGGCTAGCTTCTACATCAATACACCGTGGCGCCTGATTTTGTTGGTCCTTCAGAGGCTTTCTTAACAATCTAACAGACTCTTTGTAAGTCATTTCTTGTGAATTATTGAAACAAATGTTTGACAGCTAATTGAGGAATGCTACTGTGTTTTATAATCACTGCAGTTTGAGTTTTTAGCACTAAACAAAACAGTTAAAATTGATTTGTGGCTTTTTTCTGGTTTCAGTCAGCTGTAAGTTATATCTTTTTGCTTGAATTTAGCAAATGGCTTTGGTGGTCATTTATTTAAGTATTTATTAAAATATAGTGTTATTGTCTTCCTCCCTCACCCCTCCCCAGTATATGTGTGTGTTCTGAATTCATGAAGTGTGAGATCACAAGTAGTAACAGGAATAGATTATAAGGAAATACTGGAGAGTGGTTAAATTCAAGCTTAGGAGATAGATAGCCCTAGTTTTAAGTTCTGGCTTTGTCATTGGCTAGGTGTTGTGCTTAACTTCTGAAGCCTCAGTTTTCTCTTAAACTGAGGTGTTTGAGGAAATCTATAGAGATCACTTATGTTTAGAGTAGCGGTTCTCAACCCGTGGGTCGCGACCCCTTTGGGGGTCGAACGACCCTTTCACAAGGGTCGCCTAAGATCATCGGAAAACACATATATAATTACATATTGTTTACAGTAGCAAAATTACATTTATGAAGTAGCAACGAAAATAATTTTATGGTTGGGGTCACCACAACATGAGGAACTATATTAAAGGGTCGCAACATTAGGAAGGTTGGGAACCACTGGTTTAGAGCCTTAACCAATCCCAAGTTCATAGTAAAGGTTCCGTAGAACATAGCTACAATAAAATAATGCATAAAGTACTAGTGTTAATCCTATGATGTTTTAACGGAAAATTTCTTTGGAAAATACATTTCCTTTTTGAAACTTAATCTAGTTGTGGTTTAAATCCACATTTATTTTCCCATAATTATTTTTAAAAGAGAAAGTCACTTTATTAAAAATTAATTTTAAGTATTTTAATAAGAACTTTTCTCACAATGTGAGAATTGGAAAAATATTTCTGATTGTGTGTCTTATACATAATTTTTGATATATCCATGTAATCTAGATTACTTATTTAGTCTTTAATGACTAGGTGTTTTTCCAATGTTTATCAAATACATAATTTTCTTTATGCTCTAGCTTTCTTCCTTTTAGACAATGCCCCCAAACATTATCTTAACCATATTGCTTGGTAATGCATATGAGACTAATTAGATGAGAGTCCCATAAAATAAAAAATAATCACACACATTATTTTTGTCTATTTGCTTTGAATGAAGTGGAACTAAAATGTAATTATAAAGCATCTTAAGTTATTTTTAATTAAAATTGCATTTTAGAAGCATTATATTGAATTGTTTTCTGTTATCAGAGAGAAAAGAATCATCTTTGCTAATTTTATATGATATTTCATTCATCTAGTAATTAGTATGTTGGATGGAGACTGTATTTTTCACATGCCAGATCCTGATGTACAATCTTATATAACAGCATATTATAGATTATCTTTGGAAGCATGATCTTTTTTCACATAAGGATTCTACCAGATCATCCCAGTCATTTCCATGCTGAAAAATAGTTTTAAAATTAGATTTGTAATATCTGAAAAAGTAGAAAATCATCCTACTTCTTACTGTATCACATGTTTTAAGTTATATACATAAAGAAGAGGGGAACATCATTTTTATAAAATATAATTGTATCCTCATGTGAAACAAAGCTTTTTAGTTATTTACCTATGGCTTTATTCTCACCATGATTAATTTGGGGCTGTACTGATACCATTCACTCAAACTGATACTGAATTTACTGTCACATGAAAAGTCAGACTGAATTTCTGTGAAGTTCACTGCTACATATAGGCTCCTAAGAGAAGAAAGAATTTAATGGGTAGGAGAATTAACAAATGCAAATAACCTCATATCAGAATTAAAATTCTGATATGTAGTTATTTATAAATTTTACTTTTCATCTTATAGACTTTGAAAACTGGCCTGACAATAGTTGGGAAAGTGGTGACTCAGCTGACAGGCACGCTGCCTTCAGGTGTGACAGAAGATGATGTTGCCATCCATAGTAATTCGAGGCGGAGTCCTTTGGTCCCAGGCATCATCACCGTAATAGACACGGAAACAGTTGGAGAGGGCCAGGTAAGAACTTGCGATGCATGTAATATCCATTTTCTGCAGAGGGCTGGCTGACTGAGAATATTCTTTGGGATCAGGATTAGCCAAAATGTACTTGGCCTTGTAGGTTGTTAATTTGGATTTCTAGAAATCAAGGTTATTTTAGGTTAGATTCTTCCCACTCCCCCCCAAAGAATGATGAATAATATGTTAGAACCTGTTATTTCAAATTTTATAAATGCATCAAACCTGAAGGTAAAATTGAGGATCCATGAGATTCTCTTGTTATCTCTTCATAGGATATGTGTTTCACAGGCAGATATTTGCTCATAGATCAAAAGGATCTCACATATTTCAGGGAATTTAAAAAAAGGTTGCCTCTGATGGTTACAGGTGAATAATATCAAATTTTATTATAGATATTTTCTTAAATATGAAGAATACATGAAATCCCAAAGTATATGTTAGAATACATACATGATAATAGCTAATTGTAAAAACCTATATCTTTAGATAAAATAGATTTTTAAAATCTAAGTTCAGAAACAGGAGAAATGATTTAAACATGGAAAAATGCCTTATGCTGGCATTTAATCTAGTTGATAAGAAACCCATTGGGTTTAGTTTTTTCCCCTCATGTACTTATAAATATCTCTTCTTTTGTATCATAGTTTTAGATTTTAAATACATTTCTGAAAGGAAGTAATGTTAAAATTCATTTAATTTGTGATCATTACTATAAAATATAATCTAATACCAATTATTAAAATGAGATAGTAGAGCAACATTTGTGAAAAATTGCATTTGTCAGCTACTCATGTACTAATTTCTATAGTAAGATCAATTGTCATTTAAAAAAAAAGTGGAGCCTATTGCAATTAAAAGAAAACTCTTTGAAATTTTTGAATTTATTATATTTTAATTGAAATCAGAATAATAATAATTCTCCACCTTGCCCATCTTAACTTGTTGTTAAACAACTATGTTATAGACTTATATTCTTGTTTTAAGACTCTTTTCCATGAAGTGATAGCAAAGTTTTCAGTTGACTGTAATGACATTTAAAAAAAAGCTGTTTTAGTTAAGTTAGCTCAAGTTAATGGACACATACAGATGTTCTCTTTTTAAATTGGAATTAAATATATGAATCCTTTAATGTTTTCTTTCTTTTGTTCTTTGATTCTTAATTAATTCACCTCCAAGGCCACCCACAGTTACTAAGAGTAGTAACGACCCTTCTCAGAATTGTCTAGTTTGGGGAGTGTAATGTACGTCTGTTAAACATCTAGCCTTTGTTGACAGACAGATTTGTGCTCATTTAAAAGAAGGAAATGTTATGTCTTATTATCTCTAATGAAATAGAGATGTAACTCATTACTTTATTATATGTAAGTGTAGGAATATGTTAAAAGAAAAATTAAGCTAATTTCATAAAATGCATAACAATAGGCCATATGTTTTCAAATGTTTGTCACCATACCTCCTCTCCCCTGCCTTCTCCCATTCTTCAGTAACTTTTTATAATTTTAAAATGGAATTCTCAGGTTTGGAATATGGAAATAAACTGTAGATTGTGGAGTTGCAAAAATTATTTTTCCTGTGATACATTCATTGTTTACACTTGAAACAACTAAAGCTGTTTACTAGGAAATAAGACTCATAGAAATGTTAGCTTTTAGGTTAGTGTCATTCAACTTGAAATGTTCTATTTTCTATTATTTGTTTGGAGCATAATCTTATTTTCACTCCTACTTATAAAATATTCTAAAATTTTAACTTGACTTAGACATTTTAAGACAGGAAATATATTGATGTTCCATAAATGGTAAGTTGCAATGTGCATTTTAAAATAATTATAAATATTTTTTAAAGCAAGATTTTCTCAGTAATACTGTCCTCCCTTTTTTAATTTATTTTATTTTATTTTATTTTATTTTTATTTTTTTTTACAGAGAGGAAGGGCTAGGGATAGAGAGTTAGAAACATCGATGAGACAGAAACATCGATCAGGTGCCTCCTGCACACTCCCTACTAGGGTTGTGCCCCCAACCAAGGTACATGCCCTGGACCGGAATCGAACCTGGGACCCTTGAGTCCGCAGGCTGACAATCTATCCACTGAGCCAAACTGGTTAGGGCCACTTTTGCTGTTTAAATCCATTGAGCCTTTAATAAATAAAGATATTTTCATGTTTACATTGGTGGTGTATAAAATTTTATTCATCATCTTTCTGATACTAAATTGATTAGTTTGATTTTAGGGTGATGGGATCATTGTCTAGTAATTGCATTAATGAAGAAAAGATTTAATTGACTTCATGTACATTTTTATCTTTGTTACTTTCATTTTTATTTAAAAGCATTTCTTGCCTAAGAGAAGTTGAGCTGTATAATTTGCCTTTATACATATATATAATTGAAATTAGCAATGTGGCAAAGTCTCTAATAAAAGAAAATACTCCAGAATGATGACAAAAACTTGAGCTATCATGCCTTGAGTACATGTGTTATTCATAATAATTTAATGGTTCCTTAGGTGTTTTGTGTATCATTTTGTTCATATGATAAAGGCTTATTCACTTTGTATCAGTTAAAATTCTTTGCTTTGTTTTAATATAGTCATATGCTTTACTGCATATTTTTAGGGCTTCAGCCTGTTTAGTTAAGTGGTGAGTAAAAATTAAATGTCTTAGGACAATTGTATTGGGATATCTCTGGTTTTATTGATTTGATGCTTTAGTCAAGGTGCTAATGCAATATAGAGAATCCTTCCAAAAGTATCTGGTTATTATATATTGTGAAGCTCTTAAAGAGAAGATTCAAAGAATCCTATGTAGTGGTATGAGACTTTGCTGTTCACCGAGATTAATGTGCCTTTTGCTTGATGACTTCTGTATTAGAACCATCAACTAGAGCACGCAACACTAATTGTGTTGGAAGGAGAGGTATAGGGTTATAACATACATAAAAAGAAAGGGAGTCTTGTAAGATTGAATTAAAATAGAAAAATGTGCAAAAACCAAATATCACAGAAAAAAATATATACAAATGGTATAAAATCTATGCCCATAACTTCACTTGTTAAAGGAAAAGACGTGTTGAAACTACAGTGAGATACTATCACCTACCAGAAAGAGAGAAATTCAAAAGCTTTCAGATTGCATTTTAATTTTGAAATAATTGTAAGCTCATAGTAAGTTGCACATATATCCATGTGCTCTCACCCAGGTTCTTCCAGGTGTAATACAATATCAAAACCAGGAAATTGACAATGGCACATTACTGTTACTAAGCTATGGACCTTATTCACCTCTCACCGTTAGTTTTACCTTCATTTGTATTTGTATGTGGGCATATATAGCTCTATGAAATTGTATCCCGTGTGTAGATGAATATAATTAACATAATCCACCACAATTAAAATACTGGACGGTTTAACACACACTTTTTTTTTGTATTCAAGTCTATCCTTCAATCAACCTCTATCCCTTTCTCCTGAAAAACACTAGTCTGTTCTCTACTAGAATGTTATACAAGAAATCATAGTATGCAACTGTGTAATATTAACTTACTTTTTAATTTTTTATTTAGTTATTTATTTAAAAAAATATATTTTATTGATTTTTTGCAGAGAGGAAGGGACAGGGATAGAGAGAAACATCAATGAGAGAGAAACATCCATTCAGCTGCCTCCTGCACACTCCCCACTGGGGATGTGCCCGCAACTAAGGTACATGCCCTTGACCGGAATCAAACCTGGGACCCTTCAGTCCGCAGGCTGACCTCTATTCCAGTGATGGCGAACCTATGACACGTGAACTCATTTTTTTGGTTGATTTTTCTTTGTTAAATGGCATTCAAATATATAAAATAAATATAAAAAATATAAGTCTTTTTTTTACTATGGTTGCAAATATCAAAAAATTTCTATATGTGACACGGCACCAGAGTTAAGTTAGGGTTTTTCAAAATGCTGACACGCCGAGCTCAAAAGGTTCGCCATCACTGCTCTATTCACTGATCCAAACCCGTTAGGGCTAACTTACTTTTTTATTAGTCCAATTAAGGGTTTGTCAGTTTTGTTGATCTTTAAAAAAATGAACTCTTAGAAATAAACTTAAACCAAGGAGGTGAAAGACTTGTATACTGAAAGCTATAAAACGTTGTTAAGAGAATTTCAAGATTATTCAAGTAAGTGGGACGACATCTCACAGGTGTGGATATTAAAATTTAATGTTGTTAAAATATCCATGCCACCCAAAGTGATATACATACTAAATGCAGTTCTATCAAAATCCTACCCTAAAATTCTTATGGGATCTTAAGATACCCAGGAAAGCAAAAACAATCTAGAAAAAAGAATTGGAGTCCTCACATTTCCTTACTTGAAATCATACTACACAGCAATATGTGGCATAAGGATAGATATGTAGACCAATGGCATAGAAGAGCACAGAAATACACCCATACATATAAGTGCAAAAGATTTTCAACAAGGGTGCCCAAACCACACAAAAGGTAAAGAAGAGTCTCTTCAATAAATGACGCTGGGAAAACTGGATGGCCAACTACAAAAGAAAGAATGCGGGCCCTTACCTTACACCATATACGAAAATGAACTTAAATCCATCGTAGACCTTACCAGGAGACCTAAAACTATTAAACTCCTGAAGAAAATTAAAGGGAATAAATTTGAGATTTAAAACTACCTGCTTTAATATACTTCTGATTTTATGGCTTGGTAATGCTTTCAAAGAGGTGATGTGTCTATCTAAAAAACTAGGAGTTAAAAGACCAGTACTTTTCTACTTAAAATAAAAATTTTAGGGGTAATTCCTCTGACATATAGCTGTGTGTGTTTAACCTATTATATTGTTTTCCCTTGTTTTATTCCAATCATGGCCAAGAATTTTTCAGCAGGCCATAACACAAATGTTTCTGTCGTTGGATAAAGTTCTACATAGCTGATTTTATTTGCTGTTGTTGTTTTTTTATGAACCTACACTTCAAGAAATGATTGTCTCTGTCACCTATAGTCAAGTTAACCAACTGTTTAGCGTTTATATGATTGATCTGCTGGGGTTGTATTATATCTTTTCCTCATTCGTGAAGTGGTATTTTCACTTTTTAGTGGCAAGAATAATCTTACAATATAATGGAAGCATGTTATTTGGTCACGGACATTGTGGTGTAACTGTGTATATCTTCAAACTCAGTAATTGGTGATTAAAGGTTAACTTCCATTTGCCTCTTTATTTTTGTAAAGGTGCTTTTGAGTGAGGATTCTGACAGCGATGGTATCGTGGCCCACTTCCCGGCTCATGAAAAACCAGTGTGCTGTATGGCTTTTAACACAAGTGGTATGTTTGTTTTTCCCCATTTATATCATGGGCTTTCCAATTTGATTTTTTTGGAAATGGAATATCTAAAACACGAATCTCGTTTTTCTTCTATGTGCCAGTGTGTATAAGAAAAGTAAATAGTTTCAGTAACTGGTTATTGAATGAATGAATTTATAATAAAATTTAGATACCCTGTAAACATTAGCTTTATTCACAATAACATGGTGAAAGCAGCAGTCGGTAAACAGTGTTGTTTAGTTGCATTAATTTCTGAATTACAATTAAGCCAAGAACTTCAGTATTTCAATCAACATATTAATGTATGCGAATGGAATTTTCTTTGTAACTTAAAGTTTCTTTTTAATGTCACATTTTATAAACTAGTTTACTTATATTTTTTCTCCTTTTCTTGTGGTGTTTTTGTTTTTCTGGTTCTTCTTAAAGCATTTGGTAAAGAGAGATGTTAAAGCAATGTGGAATGCCCTTTTATCTTTTGTCAATCCCCCCCCAACTTTTTATTATAAAAAGTTTCAAACATAAAAACAGATATAAAGGTTAATATAATAATGACCCACATATCACTACCTTGATTAAACAGGTGTTCACATTTTAATGTATATATTATATATATGTATGTGTCTTTTGCTGAACCATTTGAATGTAAGTTCCATATATTATAACATTTCACCCATTACAAATGAACTATGCATTTCCTAAGAATAAAGACCCCTTTCTGTATAACAAAAAATTATATATTAGAAAACTAACATACTATATTATCTAATATCCAAACCAAATTTAAAATTCCCCTGGCCGGGTAGCTCAGTTGGTTGGAGTGTCATCCCATACACCAAAAGGTTGAGGTTCCCCTAGTCGGGGAACATTTGGGAGGCAACCAGTGCATGTTTCTCTCTCTGTCTCTGTCTCTCTGTCTCCCTCTCTTTTCCTTTTTTTTTTCTCTCTCTTCCCCTCTCCCTTTCCCACTCTAAAAACAATAAACATATCATTGGGTGAGGATTAAAAAAAACAAAACCCCAATGGTTTCAAAAGTGAATTCTCCAGCTACTTCAAACTAAGTTCTAATTAAAGTTCACTTCTTACATTTTTGTCATGTCTCTTTAGGTCCTCTTAACCCAACTTATAACTTCCACCTTTTCTTTTTTGCAGTGCCCAGACCAGTTATCGATGCAAATTCTGTACTTGTCATATTTTTTTTCATTATAATAATGTTTTCCTTATTTCCTAAAGAGCCTTTTAAATGACATTCAAGCTAAGGATTTTTTTTTTAACATCTTAAGTTTTACTGTCTACAACATTTCATCCCAACAAGAGACATATACTATCAGGTTGTCTTGCAATTTATGATACTGTGTTTGATCACATGGAGAAGTTAGTGACCCATTGAATGTCTGCATATTGGAGAGAGGTTTCTCTTGTGGAGATTAGCAAGTAATCTGCAGAGTGTTATTTTGGCATCATTGCTGAAACAACTTTTTACTTAATAGTTTTGTTACATTGAAGGCTGTATTATAAGGGTGGTTTTTCTAATTGTATTGTGTTTTCTGCATTGATTATCTGCTATCCTATCAAAAATTTTTTTTTCTTTCATCAACCATTGATGAACCACAGTTATCCTGTATGTAAAAGGCAGAGATTAAATGCTTAATTCTTTATCTTTATTTACCAATTTTCATTGTTAGGAATTGGTTTAATACTTACAGTGGCGGAATTCTACTCCAGTGGAATTAATTTTAAAAATACTTTGTTCATAAATAAAATTGTTTTCTTGCTTTCAGAGCTGAAATAGTTTTCATAAATTTACAGTCCGTTTAGATCTTATTTCTTTGGTTGATGTGTCTGAAGAGACTGCCATTTTATTTTATTCTGCAGAAATGATCCTATTAGTTAAACTTGATGGAAAGATCCATCTTTCCCTTCTTCTCAAATAAATAATGATGGTAAGCGGATAATATAGAGTACTTTGAATAATCTTTCTTCTAATATCTTAATTAGTCATTTTTGATAGAGAGGAAGATTTTTATAGTGATTGTTGATCAGTAGGGTTGATTTAATTAATGAAGACAATGATTTATTGAAGTGCTCTGAATGTTGTGGGAATTAAGTTAAATTTGAAGAAAGAGTCTGGAAGTTCTGTTCCTTATAGCACTCCACTTGGAGTAACCAGTATGACTCATTTTGATAGGCCATCTGTTATGTCAGATCTCCTTTGTATTAATGTATATTTCACATTACCCTAGTCAGAATGCTTCAGACACTGGAAGCTGTATTTTTTCCTGCCTATAACTTTCTTTTATAATAAGAACATATTATATAACATAAAGAATGTAGTTATCCCTATCATTGTCTAGCAATTAACTCTAGAAAACTATTGTTTCTTTCCTATGGTTTCATAACTTTGATCTGCATTTGCCTTTGAATTCTGTTTGAACTCCCCAATTTGTGTTTTTATGATAAGATTTAAAAATTTTATATTTATACCTACTTGTTTTGCATTTATGGATCATATAGTAATCATATCTTTAAATATTTGTTAGCCTACTTAGCCTGAGTTCCAGTTTACATTTGGATTCACTCTTGGTTTATAATCTGTGGGTTTTGACAAATATATAGTGACATGTATCCACCAGTATAATACTACACCGTATAGTTTCACTTCCCTAAAAGTCCCCTTTGCTCTGCCTGTTCATTCCTCCCCCCTTTGTTTGAGCCCCGACAACCACTGATTTTTTCCACCGTTTCCATACTTTCGGTTTTTGCAGAATGCCATATATTGGAGTCTTACAGTAGGTAGCCATTTCAGATTGGCTTCTTTTACTTACTAATATGCACTTCCTTCATCTCTTTGTATGCCTCAATTGCACATTTCTTTTTATGTTACTCTCTAAATATTTTTATGGTTCAAAATTATGATAAAGCCTATATTTTAATCTGTGAATAAAAATCATATATTTTAAGTATTTTACTTTGTCTTTTAAAAAATATTAGTCTTTGAAAGAGGTTTCTAGGCTTTACCATATTGCTAAAAAGTTCCTGGCACTAAAAATGTTTGAGTCCATTATCAAAAAGAGTAACCCTTGGCATGATTTTCACCCAACGCATTAGAAACTAACTCTTTCTTTTCACTAGAGACTCCATTCACATTGCCTGGCTCAGTCATGGTGATTCAGAGAGAGTCAACACCCATGGAGTCTGCTGGTGTGATAGGGACTTAAGGAAGGAGAATGCTTTGTGGAGTTAGGAGAGCCTGCTAGGAGATGAGAGGACTATTAACTTGGTCTTTGATTATTGGGCAACATTCTTCAAGGGGAATTCAGTTCTAAACTGGAACCTAAAAGATAATTAGCTAGGAAAGAATGATTCAGTGCCTGGCATATAAAGAAATATTAGTTGAGTGAAAGAGGCAAGAAAAATATTGCACGTTCAACATAGATTGTGAAGCAGAATCTATACCATGGACTGATCAATTTCTTATGTGGTAGAGATATTTCAATGCGTCGTCATTTCTGCAACATTTTATAAATGTTTTGTACCTGTTTAAATATTTGAATTAAATGGAGGGTTCATAACTCAGCAACCACTCACAAAATTGGTCTGCAAAATATAGATGCTGGTAGGCAGAGATTTCATACATTTGCTTACAATTTATCTTGGTTATTTACTGTTCAGCTCTTAGTATTTTTACTATTCAGAATATGACTGATATTGCTTGAGTATGGCACAAGTGTGTATATAAAATATTTAATTCTCAATGATTTGAAAGCCTTGTTTTTTATTTTTAAAAGCTGCCTACCAGAGAATGGCTATGGCTGCCAACTATTATCTAGCTCCTAACATTAGGTGACATTTTATTTGTCAAGTTTCTGTATCATGTTTCTTGTTTTAGCCAACCCTCCCAGATTAAGATAGAAATACATACATATGAACTATTTGAGTCGAGAAGCTGCATTGCCATTTGCAAATGCATGGATACCTTAGTACAGTGGTCGGCAAACTCATTAGTCAACAGAGCCAAATATCAACAGTACAACGATTGAAATTTCTTTTGAGAGCCAGATTTTTTAAACTTAAACTATATAGATAGGTACATTGTTATTAACTTAATTAGGGTACTCCTAAGGCTTAGGAAGAGCCACACTCAAGGGGCCAAAGAGCCACATGTGGCTCGCGAGCCGCAGTTTGCCGACCACGGCCTTAGTAGATGTTATTTATTCCATTTAATTATGATGAATTTTCTATCAACCTTTGTATAATTCTTTCTCTGTAAATTTACTTATGTTATAAAATGAGGCAGTTTTTTGTTCTCTGGCTGAATTATTTTTGTTAGCTTCTGAACATATATTAATTGGTATTTTGTACACATAATTACTGTATGAAGTGGTCCTTCACACAGTACTTATGATTTTTTATTTAAATTGGCCTTTTTCAAAATATAACTTATAGATCCTCCAATAACATTCTCCAGTTTTTCTTTACATGTATCCATACATATTTTTAATTTTTTTCATACTTCTAAATTTATACCAATAAGTTTTAACTCTTTTGCCCTTGTAATAGTCTATTTGGTTAAAGGTTTTTTCATAGGGACTGTAGTGTGGGCAATAATAACCATAGTGTTTATAAGTTTAGGGAAGTTCATTAAAACAAAAAACATATTGATTTTTTAAAAACCTAATCTTTCTCTAATCTTTACCTGTATTATACTAGGAATATAAATAAATTTATTAGTTTCTTTTTTAGAGAAGCATATTTTTAGATGACAGAGCTGTTATGTCCTGGACATCAAAATTCAAGAACAAACCAGACCTGTTGTCCACATTAAAAGCAATGTAATATGTACATGATAAAATAACTCTAAAAGTGAATTAAGGGAAAAAAGTAGGTTGTGTGAGTCAGTGGCATGAGGTTCAGTCTTGTATGGGACCTACTCAGAAAAGAAATTAAGGGATGCCATTAAATAGAGCTGTGAGCAGCTGCATTCAGTTTGTTTTTCAATTTCTCCTTTCCATTCTTGTTTACTAGCTATGACTCTGAGACCTGAATTAAAACAGATATTTTAATGGCAACATTTATGATTTGGTTAGAAGTGCCAGAGAGGCCTCCA